AAATGAAGATTAAAAAATTACTTTTACTTTTTAGGAAAAAGCTTCATCAGACTGTGGAATTTATAAAAAGATGTACTATAGCAAAAAATTCATTACAGACTGAAATGACACAAACTCAATGTCATGAAGAAGTCATAGATATAGATAAGAAAGAAACAGAAAATATTATATACAATTTTCCTAAAGTAGGGGTATGTGTATTTATTATTTTGACTGTTATTTTCATAAATTTCAATAAATGAAAGCTATCTTATTTTCAATATAATGTATGATCAATTTACAAGCAATTTATAATAGAGTAGAATATAAATTTATGTAATTAACAAAACGTATATATTTGCATAATATTTATATTTTATCATAATTTAAAGCATAATTGGAATGTACAGCTTTCTATTGTTTTAGGGATTAATAAATTTAGGAAACACTTGTTTTTTTAATGCAGTATTGCAGTGCTTAGCACAAACACCTTTCTTAGTAAAAGTTCTTGATGATCTGCGCCTCCCTGGGCAGAAGTTTACTTTATTAGGGGGCAAGCACAAACTTGCTAATAGTTCAGAAGAAGTTGATCTAGTAAGTCAATTTTAAAAATATATTGTTAAGTATTCTAAACACAAAAAAATGTAAAATGTGTGAATATAAATTCACATTACTGAAAAACATAATGAAAAACAAAAATGAGTGCAGAATGAACTCACATTTATACATTTCTTTAATATATTAAAATAAATTCAAAATATATCAAGTAGTATTTGTTGAAATAATATTTATATACTTTTTCATTGCAAATTTCACTCAAGTTTTCTTTGCAATTGTAAACTTCAATACATTTTCCTTGTATTACTGTGGTACATATTTATTTAATAATAGTATATTGTTACTGTAACCATAGTAATGCGCTGTAAAAGATTTACTTTTAGATAAATTACTTAAATGTATTAAAAGAATATTTTTTTAGCCACCCATAGAAGGTACTTTAGAAAGTTGGGGTAGTTTTACATCAATTTTATGGAAGACACTTACAGAAATGCAAAATTCTGATGGACATCAATCCTACCGTCCATCAGAGTTGTTAAACGAGTTTAAGAAAAAAACAATGCAATGTATGGATGGAGGGCAACACGATTCACATGAACTTCTTAGACATCTCTTAGAAATAGTTCGAAATGAAGATCTCAAGGTGAGTATATTTGTATTTATTTTATTTACTCTTGTGTGATGTTTGTATGAAGTAGATCACTATGTTTTTTATTTTATCGATCAAACAAAACAATTTTCAACTTTGGTATTTCTTTGTATGTTCAAAAGAGATACTTATATAAGTTGGATTAATCCCGCCGATTAATAATAATTAAGATTTAACTTATTCATAATTGATCCCTATAACCATGATATAGTTCATGAAAGAATGATTATATTATCGCTAATTATGTATCATATTATCGTAAATGTTATTTAATTATTTTTTAATTTATAATATTTTAGTACACTTTATATTTTTTTGTGTGATTACGGTTTTTAGTAATATTTATGTGTGATAGCAAAAGCGTAATTGTTTTAGAGATATCAAAGTGTAATTCTGAAAGAATTTGGTTTGAGTGAAAAAACTAATCCAGAAGGAGTAGAAGAAAGCCTCAAGTCCCGTGCAAAATTCTACGGAAATCAGGCTAATGCAAGACTACTTGGAACAGAACTTGTTTTTCGTGGTGTATTAGTTTCTACATTGAAATGTCTGGACTGTCATCATTCATCACAGAGTACAGAACCCTTTTTAGATCTCAGTTTACCAGTTATGTCGGATAAGCCACAACCTCCAGTTTTAAAGTAAGAACCATTGTTTAAAATGTATGAAAGAGTAAAACAAGACATAAAACTATAAGACTAACTATATTGTCTAAAATATTCCTTGTGTTTTT